CCCCCCCCCCCCCCCCCCTCTCCTCCTTTTATCTATTCCTAAGCCCTCTCAATCCCAGTCCAGGATCACAGTAACTGAAAGAGTCTCAGCATCTAATTTATGATCATTTTCGCTTATCACTTCGAATGATTAGACTGGTGACGACCTATGCCGCGTGACAGCTGTGTAGTTGAAGCTCCCACCCAGCCTCAAAGTCAACCCTTTACCAGCGGCGACGAATCCTTTTTCTTATCTCTTTTCTGGCTGTCATTTTCGATTTTTCATACACGAAAATACATAATTAAAATCAATGCCTCTTGCAAGATCAAGGCAAAGACATATAGACGGGCTTTTCTTAAAATATTTTTTTTCTTCGAGCCGCGCCTCCCCCATCCTAAAGATAATTTTTTTTAAAGAGAGTTAAAAGGGCTTGGGTGGAGGGAGGGAGGGGGAGGGGGGTTCAAAGAGTGAAACGCTCTCTAAAGACGGGATATTGCACATGAGAACCGAAAGTTAAAAGCCAGATGTACAAGCGTACCATGCATCAACCTAAGATTTCTTTAATGTAAAACCCAAATCAAAGATATTACAATGACCAAACAAAAATAACCTGCATACTATGGCAACAACAAAAAAAAACCCAACAAAAAACAACCATAATGTTGGAGGACAGCACTGGCTCAATTGATTATCTGCCACTATCGTGAAATAAACATGGCGGTAAAGGCCTACTTCAGCCCCAGTAGTTTTTTTTAAAATTTGTTTTGGTAAGTGTTTTACGGCGCTCGCACCTGCTTAAGGTCATGAGCGCGCAGGGCACACCTAATATTTTCAGTCGGTAGGAAATTTTGAATTTTGCCCAGGTGGCGGCCGAAGCCTACTCTAATCGATTTAAGATCACCAAGGGATCTTTAACTTGCGCAACTTGCACACGGGCCCTCCGAGATTTCTCGCCCTTGTCCGAGAAGGCTAGGTGTAGATTTTCCCTACCAGAAAAGCAGTAAGAAGGAGCCAAGGAGTAGCAGTAGAAAGGCTGCAGAAAGAGTCAGGAGCCGAGAGGAGGCCCAGTTCTTAAACTCAGGGAAATCATCTTTCGTGCATGGCGTCACGGCTACCCTTGGTGTTGGGTCTTGAGAGAGTGTTTACCCCGGACGTGAGTAATAGGTCAAGTAAGTTCCGAACGGAAGGCTGGAGAAGACCTTTCACATCGCAAAATTTCTGATTAAAAGCCACCATGAACAACCCACCAAAAACATCGATCTGCTCGACAATTTGACAACCCACACAATCTTCACTGGGACAGAAATACTAGGTACGGTTACCCAAACTGTCTTGCAACGGAAGAATAACCCAAAATAAACAAACAAACTCCCAAAGAACCAAACACAAACGTAGCTCTGGGCAGAACACCTGTTGGAAACATATTCCAGGCCTCGGTTTACCAACTCCACACTCTCTCACAGACCCTGGAGGCTGGCACATCCGGAAAAAACAGTCAGTTTTATCAACCAGACCAATCTCCAATCGCCCCTCATGTGGCTAATCTCGCAATCTTCTGGCATGGTCAGTTTTTCAGACACCTACATATCGACATGACCGCTTATATATCTCTGCTTACTCTGCTGCGAGCGCTACACCAGCCAGCGGTAAAAAGGGAAGTAAAAAAAGGGGGGGGAG